TGCCTAGCTAGGCCATGGAGGAAGTAATGTATGCAGGAAGATATACTTCTGCCCTTATAGAGATCACATGGTAAGGAATGGCCAAGCCGGCATACATGAGACACTTCACCAATGTGTCTCAGGATAGAGGTTGGGAGTGAGAGACTGAGACAGTGCGGCTAAAAGGACCCTTGCCCAGGGAACTGAAGCTGGAAGATGCCCAGGAAAAGAGGAGACCTTGGCAAATTTGGTGGGACTTGGGGTGCATGTCAGGGCAAAGACAGCAGTGGGGGTACAGGGCCTCAGGCATGGGTGAGAGTGTATAAGCCAGACACACTTACAGGATAGAAGCTTGAAGGGTCTATTCTGATTGGTGATGCGAGTGAGAAGTAGAAACTTCCATCCTCATCCAAGATACCCTACCTGCACAGCAAGAACATCCTGCCTGTTTTGTGGACGTGAAAGGGTCAAAGCTTGCTTTCATGTGAGGTAAGTGAATAATGAATTTAGCCTAGATTAAACCAAGGACGTCACACACACTAGGCAAGAACTCTACTCCTGAGCTAGTCCCAGTCCCAAAGGACTAATTTTTATAGAGAACCAACAAATCAGTTGGAGGGGTGAGGGTGGGAAATGATATAGTTTTAAAAATTCAGACAAAAGGGAATAAAAGGCAATTATTTGAAAGCAAATGAAAGTAGTTAATAAATACATAAAAAGATATTCAACTTCAATCATAATGAATAACAGGACAACAATGCAATGTATTTTTCCTATCATATCAGCAATTATAAAAACATTTGGTATTACAGAGTGTTGACAGAGAGGTAAGGAAATGGTCACACTCACATACTAATAAATTGTTAGCCATTATTATTACATCTCTAAAAGTGTATAGGATATGTCTTTTCAGAATATATATTTAATGTATGGACAACCATTAAAAAGAAGAGGTACCTTTGTGTGTTGAGTGGAAAGATTTTACAATTTTATGTGAAAGAATGTATTGCCTGTATGTGTGCAAGTGCACCTGTGTTCTGCAATGTCCACGGAAGTCAGAACTGGAGTTATGGACTGTTGTTAGCCACCATGTGGGTGCAGGGAATCAAAGCCGGATCATCTGCAAGAGCAGCCAGTGCTCTTAACTGTTAAGCTCTCTCTCCAGCCCCCTTAAGTTTAAATCCTAAAAATCGTAGCTTTGGTTTTATTGGCTTCACTTTGTCTCTGTGATGTGCCAGCTGTCAGGGGTTTATAAGCAATAAGAAGGAGGAATTAGAGTTAAATATCACCTTGTCCAACTCTGGAAGAAGCCCATACTTTTCTATTCTTGGGCTGGAGTGATAAACGCTTAAAAAGGTTATTAAAGACCCGGGGATGCCCACATTTCCATAATAGAAAGTGAGTCTCAAGGCAGAGTGGCAGTATACTCTTCTCTTCCCAAGGATGTCTGTGGTTCACACAGGTTGACTTTGTGATCTGGACATGTTACCTCTATGGTTGGTTCTGCATTGACTTGCCTTGTTCTGAAGACTGGTATCTCACAAATGTTTCTATTTCATAGAAGTTTTCTTTGATGGGGTGGTGCTAGCCATCAAGTCTGAGGAGCTGAGTTCCATCCCCAGGACCCATATGGTGAGAGATGAGAATCTACTCCTACAAGTTGTCCTCTGACCTCTACATGGAATACACAAATAAAAATAATGGGGGGAAAATATGTTTTCGCCTAAAACAGTTTATGTGGCTTAAGCCAAGCAAGGAGTGGCATACTTCAGCAGGAATAGAGGAGTCCCCAAACCACATCCAGATATTTTGTTGTCAACTGAAGAGACTGAGGAAGAGCCCTATGTAGTGGGTGGTGGGCTCCCTCTGAAACTTAGCCCAGAGGACACTGGAGAGTGGGAGGAGGGCAGAGATCCCACCATACCACCATAGCTGACTGGAGGGTGGGCTTCTGCCAGTCATGCAAGGGACAGGGACAGCATCTCCTTCAGCTGGCTATTGACGGGTACATAACACAGGCCCTGTCTTAGCTGTTTCTCCTCAGCTGCCTCTGCCCCAGCTCAACACTGTGGTCCTGGGCTTCCTGCCACCCTGTCTGAGCCCTGGCCTCCCAAGCAGATAGAGCTGTGCTTTCAACTGCCCTGGGAGGTCACTTTGTCAGCAGTAACTGAACTGAGCCATGCTGAGGTCTCCCTCTTGGTGTCACTGAAGTGCTTTTTCAGGGTCAGTATCAACTGACCTACATATATTTCAAGAAGTAGAAATGAGGCCTGTAACCAGCTGTTTCCTCCTCCTAAAGCAACTGAAGCCCTAGGCTCTGAGGATTTAAGGATGAGTAAGATACCAGCCACAGTTGCTCTCTGGAGCTCAAAGTCTAGTCAAGAAAGTGGAAATAAGCAGGAAACCTTACTGGAGGCATAAGGCCTATGGTCAGGAAACTTGGCCCGAAGAGAATACCAAGAAAGGCCACTGGACTTGGGCTGGGGAGGACTTCAGAAAATGCCTGAAGACTGGGGAGATGGCCCAATGGAGTTTAAGAGCACTTGCCAGCAAGTCTGACCACGTAAGTTGGATCCCTGGGCTCCACATGGTTGGAGGAGAGAACTGACTCCTGCAAGTTGACCTCTGACTTCCACTTGTGCACCGACTCTCTCTCTCTCTCTCTCCTCTCTCTCTCTCTCTCTCTCTCTCTCTCTCTCTCTCTCTCTCTCTCTCTCTCTCTCCAAAAACACACACAAAATAAAAAAAAATTAAAATAAAGAGCAGTAAGGACTCGGGGGTGGGGAGAGAGGATAGCATATTCTCTCTCTCTCTCTCTCTCTCTCTCTCTCTCTCTCTCTCTCTCTCTCTCTCTCTCTCTCCAAATAAACAAACAAATGGAATAAAAATTTTAAGAGAAAACACCTGAGGGCAGTCATCTGAGGCACCAGGGCCAGTTAGGTCAGGGAGCAAATACCAGTCTTGACCTCTGCAATCCTGGGAAAGCTCTCGCTATCTATCACCTGGGTAGCTGTGAAGGCTTGTGTCCCGAGACATCAAGGTGGGTGGCAGAGGGATAGGCACCTCGGTGCCTCCCTAACCTCCCTCCCTCATGCTCATTCACTCTCTTCCTTTCCTTTTCCTTGCTCACTCTGTCTCCCTCAATCCCTTTTCCTTTCTTCTTTTGGGTGGTTCCTTTTCATTTTCTATCACCACCTATCCACCAACTCATTTAATTTCTAAAATAGTCCCCCTTTAAAGAATAGAAAACATTAATCCATAAATATTGTCACTGTTAACAACAATATCTCAGCTAAGGTGGGAAGGAAGAGAAGTAGATGGGAATTAGAAACCTTGGGCCCACAAGATCTGTGTGGAGAAAGACGGCAGCAGACAGAGCCAAGCGGGAAGGGCAAGGACCCCTGAGACCCCACCAGCATGCATTACCAGCTCCCCTCCTGCATCTGGATGTGTCCCACACGAGTTGGAACTGGACCAACTTTTACCCTAACCCCAGCTCTGATACCTGGCTCAAGACTTCTGACCACCTTTTGTCTATGTCTGAGGTTCTGGGCTTGCTGAGAGGCAAGGTTTCAAAAAGTTTGAAGACAAGTTGAAGACAATCCTTCTACTGGAAAATTTCAAATTGGGATACCCAATGAAGGCCTCCTGCCCCTCAACAGGGATAGAGTTGCTGGGTAGGGGCAAAGCACCCACAGCTCTCCTAGGAGCCATCAGGGATACCACATATCTTCTCTCCAAAGAGGCTTGTGACAGTCCTGCCCTCTCCTCCCATCAATACATGTACCATTCACTAATAAAAATATTACCAGAAAAGAAGCAACTATCAGAGGTCAGAATGGTGCCCAAAGTGTCCGTGTAGTCCTTACAGCATCCCTATTTGGTATCTCCAAGGACAGGTAAAGTCACTTCCTCAAAGTTGTGCAGCTACTAAGACTCAGAGTCAGTATTCAAATCAGTGTCTGCAGCAGACACTTAACTATTCAATACCTCCCCCAGGCAGCAATGTAGTGCCACTCACTGAGCCCCTGTGTATAGAGCACCAGAGCATGGGGTTAAGTGTACAAGAGAGACAGGAACCCCAAACCCTCCCTTTGTGCAAACAAACAACAAAAGGAGAAAAAGCCCCATGAAGCTAAGAAGTACCTTAAAAAGCTGCCCAGGCTGCAGGGAGAGAATAGATCCATGTTGAGCTGGACTTTGGAGCAGAAAAGGGATTCTGCACAGGATAGTGAATTGTTGCAAGGGAGAAAAGGATCAAGAAAGCCCTCTTGGAAGAGGTGAAGAATAGAAATTGCCCCAGAGCATTATGAGCAACTCCAGCTAGAAGTTCCAAAGCTGAGGGACCAGAAACATCTTGGGAGAAGAAAGAAAAACTGTGTGCTATTGGGAGGTGAAGGGAAGGGGCCTTTCTTAGAGTGCTGCTCCTGGTTCTGTGCGTGTGTGTGTGTGTGTGTGTGTGTGTGTGTGTGTGTGTGTGTGTGAATTTACTGTATTAAGCATATAGGAACCATTTGGTTCTTTACCAGGGGAAAGACATGATGCAAAAATGGCAGACAGAAACCTGATCTGGCTGGCAGGATTGGAAAGGACATCTAGTGATCTCAATGACTAAAGCCTTCTTAACATTTTCAAAAGTTATTTGGCAAATTTTAAATTTTAAATTAAATGCATCTTGAAATGGTGGCTATTGATAGAATAAAAATAAGAATTTTAGAAGTAATCAAAGTTTATTTTCTTACTGTCACCTTGGCTTGTACAAGGTGAAAGGGCTGTAATGAGGGTTTTAGGAAAATGAGTCAGACAACCAGGGGAAGTTCTTCTGTGACCTGAGAAGCATCCTGCTTACCATCACTGCCATTATGACAATAGGGTTTTTCTTCCCCACTTTTAAATTCTCCTCGGGAGAGATAAAGGATTTTTAGGGGACCTTCCAACAGTTAGTGCTGCATAAGAAGACAGTTTAAGAAATAGTTATTATCTGAAGTATGTTCTACCCAAGGCCCAAGCCCCCAGCATACCTGAACTTCCAGTGCTGAGCCACAAAAGGGGCCCCCACAACCAGAGGCCAGGAGGCATTGCTGAGGTGGAGTCTCAGAGCTGTTGTGAAGGAGACGCTGAAAGACAGAGCTACCACATAGGCCAGCCGCCCCCAAGCACTCACTTGGGGCTCACTAATCGTTAACTGGTCTTATGGCCTGTAAAAGGAAAAAATAAATCTTCCTATTTGTTTAACCTCTAGAGTTTTCAGTTTCTTTTTCTCAATGAAAATAAGCAACCCCCTATTCCTCACCCCCTCCACACACATGTACACATACTCTCTTTTTTTAACCAGGGGACATTGAAACACACTGTTCTTCCTCTCTGAGCCAAACAAGATCAGGAAATGGCTTCCCACACCTCTCCCATTTCCCATTATGAAATGTCAGTGACGACCAAGGCAGTCTTTCATCTCTCAGTGGTTACAAAATTCTATTGTAATGGAATTTCTGTGGACATTTTTTCCCCTGGGAAGATGGAACAGCTGGGGGTGGAAACCCCTTTCACTTTTGGATTCCCAGGCTTCACACAGTGGAGCCAGTGAGACCAGTGCATGTACATGTACTGGACAGAGTGGAAGGAGATGAAATTTGGTTCTGTCGAGTACTCACTGTCTTTCACAGAGCCTTGAGGTTAAAAGTGAAGTTCAACCTCCAAGAAGAGATGTTCAACTTCCTGGACTCGCAAATAAAGAAACAGAACAGTAGAAAAGGAAAATGACGTACAGAGACGCTGTTGGTCGAGGTGGTACAGCTGGGCCTCCAAACTGGATGAGTCTGTTATGCCATGTGGCCTCTTCACTCTAAGGAGGAGCAGAAACCACAAGGAGCTATTTCTGTAAAGTTGGGGAGAGGCAGGGCATTTGCCTGGCCAGTGCTCCTGAAACAGTAGCACATGGTTGTTAGGCAGAGACCCAATTGCAAGCCAGCTTTGTCCTTTCCAAATAGTAACTCCGTGGGGAATTGTCCACACATGTGTTTTACATGGCTGTCGGCATAGAGAGCTTAAGAAACTTAAACAAGCTGGTGGAGAACTGCGATTTAAAGCAGGACAGGCTAGGCCCAGAACCCAGGGTTTGAACCATGGCTCTGCATGATGACTTTGGCAGGGCCAACCCTCAAGCACATCACCCCACTGCTTCAGCACTGCTGCCCCCAGGAAGGAGGTGGCAACAAACAGGGCACAGTGGAAGCCACTACTGAAGGCTGCTCTGACGTCGTAAACCTAGCCAGGTGTACCAGTTCAGGTCATTAAAGAAGACACCTGGATGTGACTAGATGTGCAAGAAGAACGTCGATCCCATGACTATGAAGAATAAGGATGCTGAAAGAGGGCCAATAATGGATTGTAGAAGTTTCTAGAATATACTACCAGGCCAATGAAGTGTCTTCAAGTGAAAGTCTTCTGTTAAAACAGTCCCATGTCTTAATGAAGTAGGCCTGAATTAGCAGCCAACTCTGCTCAGCACAAAGCTAGTACACATTAATTAATTAAAAGTGTGGAGAGCAGGGGGTGGGGAGTCACAATGCTTCACAGCCTTCAGAGGTTGGGGTGGCAATATAGCTATAAACTAATCTCAGAAAATAATTCTAGGCCTCAGCAGCTTATGACTGTAAAATGAAGTCATGTTCATTTTTAAAAGTGTGTTTGTTCATAATTCTACATGTATGTGCTTTAAAATAAATAAATAAATAAATAAAGCCGGGCGTGGTGGTGCACACCTTTGATCCCAGCACTTGGGAGGCAGAGGCAGGCAGATCTTTGTGAGTTCGAGGTCAATGTGGTCTACATAGTGAGTTCCAGGACAGCTGGGGCTACAGGGAGACCCTGTCTCAAAAAGACAAAAAAAAATAAAAATGGGAGCTGAGGAGATGGCTCATTTGGTAAAATGCCTGCCATGAAAGCACAAGGTCCTGAGTTTGGATCCCTACCAGCCACATAAAAAAGCTAAGCATGGTTGTGCACATCTGCTCCTGTAGCTCTGGGGTAGGGATGTAGACAGAGTGTCATCAGACCTCACTGGGCAGCCAGCATAGTCAACTGATGAGCACCAGATTCAGTGAGAGACTGTATCTCAAAAAATAAGGTAGTAAGAGATAATGGAAGACACCTGATGTTGAACTCTGTCTTCCACACATGTACACACATGTGCACACACCCTCATATGCATACACATACACTACACACATGCACACACAAATAAGTACATTTTTAATAATTCGAAATGTACAAAAGTATGTAGTGAAATATGAGTCTCTATCCCCCCTTATCCCCTACCCCATAGAGTCCATAGAAGGCAGCTGTGGGCACCATTTTCTTTTAAATCTATATGGAAATATTCTCCCCCACCCCCTTTTGACACAATTCTGACCTAAAAGCTTTTTTAAAAAAATGTGTGTGTGGAGGGGTGTGGTGTGCCATGGCACATGTGTGGAGGTCAGAAGACAACTTGCAATGTAAACACAGGTTGCCAGGCTTGGTTGCAAGCTCCTATACCCACTGAGCCATATCACCAGTCCCACAAACCTTTTGAAGTCTTGCTTTTTAAGCTAACCAAAATATCTTACAGCTGCCTCATTCTTTTTTTTCAGGCTGCACAGACCATGTCATGAAATTTTAGGGTCCAACCCAAAATGGCTCAGGCTTCTGACTTTTTTTTTTTTTTTTTTTTTAACCAAGTTCTTCTTCAATTTGAGCTGAGGGCATGATGTTGGAGCCACCACTCCTGATGTCCTCTATGCCCTGCATGTGTGAACATACACACACACACACATACACACACACACACACACACACACACACACACACATTTCAGAGCAAGTCACAATATGCAAGCATAGCACAGGACACTTGTCCAGCAGTCTCCAACTAATCCTGCACCCCCCATCCCTCCTACCACCCCCACCCCTGCTTTCTTGCTAATAGCTCTCAAGAGTAATTGCAGACCATGCAGGGAGTACAGCATCCTGAAATGGTAGAGGTCTGGCCAGATGAATCTGGATCCTGTCCCAGCCTTCCCGCCTCCTCTTTCCCAGAAATAGGATGTTATTCAATGCTTTGTTTGGTAAATCATGTGTCCCTAGGGTATAAAACCCAGGGCTGGCTGCTCTGTGGGTGCCTCAGCAGCTGTGTAAGTGGGACACATGCAGAAGACATTCCATCTGACGAGGGCAGCATTCCTGAGTACTGGGGAACTGGCTGGAAATGCATCCTATGCTTGTGTTATTCCTGCTGCCTGGGTTTAAGTAATAAGTTCACTTCCTATAATGGGGTTGGGAGGGAGAGTGTGTCCTGTCTTAGTCTAAGGCATGTTGGTGACCAGTATGCAGGGAAATTGCTTCACACAATCAAAGTTCCTATGGAAAAGAAAACATTGCATCTTCTTTGTTTTAGCCTTTGGGAGCAGGGAGCATGCAGTGCTGTTGACTGAGCCAGGGCCTTGTTTATGCTAGATAAGCACTGTGCTACTTTCATTTTAAAACAGCTATATTCATGTTTTCCCAGGAAGACTATACGGAGACCTGTGTTAAATTCATCTAGACCTAGGTCATGGCTTTCTGATAGAACAGAAAATTGGCGAGTCCCCAGGTGACTCCAAGGCTCCAAGTGTTCAGAGACTGAGAATCGTTTGTGGCTTTGGAATCAGAGTTTGATGCTAAAATTTTATGGCTTAATATTTGATGCCTGAGATGTGTCTCCTAACCTCAAAGTAAAATTATTTGTGAGTCTTACGGACTTATGATTGGGGGTGTAGTACTGCTGTAAGGCAGAACCAAGAGAAAGTTGAAGGAAAACAAAGCTCTTTGGGTTCCTTGGATTGAGTCAAAAAGTTTCCCAACTGCTGGCAGAAACTGGCTTGAAGTGGTATATATGGGGATCTCCCTGCATCTCCCATTTCATGACAGACTGGCATAAAAAAGACACATTTAAAAGCAAAAAGGGAGGATCTGGGCGTGGTGGTGCATGTCTTTAATCCCAGCAAGGGCAGCAGAGGCAGGTGGATTTGTGAGATCAAGGCCAGCCTGGTCTATATAAGCAGAGTTCTAGGCCATCTGGGACTACAGGGAGATGCTGTCTCAAAACAAGCAAACAAACAAAAAGGCATCAGTAACATATAGATAGCACAGTTTACATAGCTACTTTCTGAGTATTTATAGTATGTCAGACACTATTCCATGTAAAGCGTACAACAAGCCTACAAGGCAGGTGATGTCATTAGCCCCATTATGCATGTGGAGACAAAGGCAGAACCAAGTTAAGTAACTTTCCCAAGTCCACACAAAATAGCAGAGCATGGATTTTAATCTGAAAAAGTGTTATCAGTGACCATATCCTTATGCAACAAAGATTAATTACCTCGCCTCTCCACAAACCTCAAGGCTAGCGCATCACATCAACTTCCACTCACCCTCAGTGATGTGAGGCCCAAAGAAGTCAGTGACAGGCCTGGCAACAGAGCAGGATTTCAAAGGCAATTCTCTGCATAGTGTCAAAGTAGGTCTTTCCTTGGGTCTAATTACATACTCAGCAGCATGTTCCAGACATAAGAAAAAAGCACCCTCCTCCCAGATCTCCTGCTTTCGGAACTGGTGGAGTAGGGACATCAGAGGCCCACCTTACCCCCAAATGCCAACTCCACTGGGCTCTCTCTGGTGATAATTCTTCTGGAGATTCTTTTTTTTTTTTTAAGATTTTATTATTTTTTATTATGTGTGTATGAGTGTGTTGCCTGTGTGTAAGTGAACCCATGTCATGCATTGCCCGTGGAGGTCGGAAAAAGGTGTCAGATCCCCTGGAACTGAAGTTATGGATAGTTGTTAGCCATCATGCGGGTGCCGGGAATCGAACCGGGTCCTCTGCAAGAGCAGCTACTGCTCTTAACCACTGAGCCATCTCTCTAGCCCATTCCCCCGACCCTTTTTTTTTTTTACACAAGACCATGTTCAACAACTTCCTTTATTTAGTTTCACCTTCTCTATTCCTGTCGTATCTATCCACTTATCAGTTGTACTAATATGAAGTTTTTATATAAATAAGCTTTTGGGGGGTGGAGATGTTTTTGAGATAGACTCTCAAAAGCCCAGGCTTGCCTAGAACTCATGATGTAGCCCAGGCTTTCCTGAAACTTGTAACAATCCTCCTGCCTCAGTCTCCAGAATGCTGGGATTACAGGCATGCAACACCATGCCCAATTTAAATAAGCTTTAATAAATGTCTTTCAGAAGAAATGTTTATATTAAGAAGACACAGCCAGCCCTGAAGTGGGCTAACAGGTATACTGTGTCACCTTTGCCTGCTGGCCAACACAGAGTCTCATGGGAACCCTGGTTGGAAGTACAGTCCTCTCTTAACAAGTGCACACTTTAGCCCACAGCTCTAGGGGAAGAGCAAAGGATTCCCTCACATGCCCGGTGCATCTCTTCCATCTGCTCTTCATCTGAAACCTTTATGATAAACTTGTAAACAAGTATATCCCTCGGTTCTGTGAGCTACTCCAACAATTAATCAAACCTAAAGAGAGTTGTGGAAAGTCTGGTTTACAGTCTGTTGTGAGACACACAGGTTACAGTCTGGCACTTGTATCGGGCATCTGAAACAGGCAGTCTTGTAGGATGGAGCCCTCAACCTGTGGATATGATGGTAACTCTAAGTAGACTGCATCAGCACTGAGCTAGAAGACAAGCAGCTGGTGTCTGCCAACTTGGTGGACATTATCAAGGCAACAACCAACCCACATCTGCTGCCAAAAGTCGTGATAAGTGTAGGAGTAGGAAGAACGCTTTGTTATCCCATTTCTTACCATCAGACCTGGACATGAAGCCCTATTCCGGCTGCTAGCTGTCCACATCCTAGCTGTGTAACTTTGTACAGATAGCAACATCCCTATGCCCTTTTTATTTACTAGGTAGATATGAACTGCTTAACACACAGTAACACTGTACCTCATCTGCCTTTTCCTTCCCCATCTGGAAAAAGCCTTACCTACTCCTCAGAGGTCACTCTTTCATGTCCCAAGCACCCCCAATTTTTAAAAAAATTTATTTATTTTGGTCTTTTTTTTTTTTTTTTTGGTCTTTTTAAGCCAGGGTCTCCCTGTAGCCCCAGCTGTCCTGGAACTCACTATGTAGACCAGGCTGGCCTTGAACTCACAGAGATGTGCCTATCTCTGCCTCCCGAGTGCTGTGATTAAAGGTGTGCACCACCATGCCTGGCCCTTATTTTGGTCTTTTTTTTTTTTTTAGACAGGGTCTCCCTGTAGCCCCAGCTGGCCTGTAACTCACGATGTAGAGGGGCTGGCTTTGAACTCACAGAGATCTGCCTGCCTCTGCCTCCTGAGTGCTGGGATTAAAGGTGTGCACCACCAGGCCTGGCCCAAAGATTTTTTTTTTTCAAGTGATGGCACAACTGCTCTCTGCTCATTATTGGGATGAGCCCTGATTCCTTTCTGGATCCCAGTTGGTCCAAGAGGTTGCAGTCTTACTCTGCAAGAGCTGTGTAACTGTCAATAAAGAAAAGGTACCAGTTTATTGGCTCCAGGAGGGAGAGAATGAACAGCAAGCGGAGAACATGGTTGAAGAATGGGGAATGGGTGGGTGAGGCCAATGCTCATTTTGCAGGTCAAAAAGAAATCATTTTTCTAGCAGCCTTAGATAGCAAGGCAAACAAATGAAGCCCCAGCTTACAGCAGGTCAGGAAGCATCATCAATCCCTGGACCAGAACACAGGAACTGCACACGTGTTCACCAGATAAATATGGCAGACTTATGTTAGGAACACATTTTTATTGATTGCCTGAACATTATGCATGTAATTTATCATCTCTTTCTTCATTCTCATCCTTCCTCCCCCTCCATTTTTCTCCCTCCCTTTCCCTGCTTTCCCAGGTCACCAGGTCAAAGTCTGGGAAGGAAGTCTGAGAAAAGGAGTCTGAAAGCCAGACTTTCCCAGCATGCCTGTGATGTCATAACAATCGGCATGCAAACAGAATTAGATCTCTAGGGTCCTTTCATGTTGCCTCGAATTGTGGTTAAAGCCCTATACCCGCAAATGACAGATGCGAATGGCAGTCCCTTCAGATCCCCTGTATCTCCTCCCCCACATTTTAAAGAGGCTGAAGGACTTGGAAAGGCAAACCCCTGAAGGAATCAGAGAGAGCCAGAGGGCTCTGATCAGACCTCCCTCTCCTTACCCCAGTTAAACACCAGGAACCTGAAGCAGAAATCACAGGAGTCAGAGTTTGTGGTTGTATTGAGAAGGGAGGGAAGGAGTACCTCTCCTCACCTCTCGAAGTGGGCCAAATGAGGAGGCCTCTTGGCTGACTGAGGTGGCCAAACAGGTGACTGTGGTGTCTCATTTCAAGCTGGATGTTTGCTGGGCAGTATGCATGTGAGACTGACCCAGAAGACACCCAGCCACCTCTCAGTGGGTTCAGTGTGGGGATAGGACTATGACTGAAGACTGTGGGTGAAAATTCGGAAGTCAAGTGCTGTGACAAGCAAAGCAGGCTTCATCTCACAGGCTCTAGGTTCGATCCCCACCACCAAATACACTGGGCATGGTGATGAATGCCTGTAATCCCAGCATTCAGGAGGTGAAACATGAAGACCAGGAGTTCATGATCATCCTTGGCTACTTAGGGAGTTTGAGGCCAACCTGGGCTAGAGACCATGTGGGAGGGAGGGAGGGAGGAAGAAAGGGAGGGAGGGAGGGAGGGAGGGAGGGGGGGGGAGCAAGATAGTACATTTGGAGGCAAAACAGCTAGCACTCTTAGGACTTCCATTGTGCTCGCCTCCCTGTCCTCACACACCCTACAGCTTGTCAGTGCAAGTATCTGGGTCTTGACCCGAAGATATTCTCATGTTCAGCTCACATAAAAGGCAAGCTGAGAAGTAGCAGGAAGTCAGCATCCCTCATCCCCTGGTGGTCCTTAACCACTTAGGGGGAAAGTGGGTGGATACATACTCCAGACTGGCTTGGCCTTTTGGCAGGACAACTCTGAGAACAGCCTCAGGCAGAGGACCCAGAAAGATGGCACCCCAGTTGCTCACAGGGAAACCTGTTCTTTTGTACACCCCGTGTAGTCCCTTCCCTCCTTGGCTCACTTCCCCATTCTCCTACTGATGCTTCTTGGAATTGCCTCTCAGATGAACTTCTTGAATCAGATCTTTGCCTCAGAGTCCACTTTGGGCAGGTGGGAACCCAATTGAAGAAAAACAAACAAAAAAACCTTTTAGAACAAATAGATGATAAAAATTAGGACTGTGAAGCTATGAGATTTCTGGGATGGGAAGCACTGACCCCATCAACACAGATGAAAAAGATTCTCAGATACAGGAAGAGGGATGAATTCAGCGAGAGCAAGAAGAGTCTGGAAAGACTGAGCACAAAGGGCCCAAGGGACTCCTTTCTCAAAACTCCCTGAGTATAAGGTTAAGACTCTTGGGAAACACTGAAAAGTGAGTAGGACTGCAGGAATAAGAAACCACCAGAAATGAACTTCTTATCTCCCTAGAGATCAACTGCAGTGTCTTCCTTCGACACCAGAGAAAACAAAGCCCTGGCTGTCTCTTCCAGCCGGAGTCTGTACTCCAGTTTCTCATAGTTCAAGGGATTTACTCCTTTAAAACCATGCATAACCCCCCACCAGCAGCCGGCAATGGCTGCTGTGGAATCACTGTCTCCACCATGGAAAAAGGCTCTGTAGGCAAGCTCCTTCCAGGAGTCCCCTGCAGCAAGGACGGCATCATAGGCAATCATGGGAGCATCATGTCCGCTGCTGCCACCCCAGCCAGAGTAGCTCAGGGAGATGTAGAACTGATCCCTCTCCTTTACACCAAAGGGCAGAGGGAAGGTGGGGGCCGACTTGCCATCCAAAATCCCTCTAAGTTTCAGGTACTTTTCCCATTGATTTTGGAAGTAGGACCTGTGTGGGGAGAAAATCAATTGAAAAATTAACATCAAAAGCTATAAGGAAAAAGTGCCAGGTAGATGTGCAAATGGAGAAAAGTCCAGAATGACGTCAAGTCCTTGAACTAGAATTATAATGTCTCAAAAGAACCTAATCAGCTCTGTGAGCCTTTCATACATTTTTACTAACCATCTACACAAACAAGTTATTGAACCAGTTGCTAAATAAGGAAGGTCTGTATCAAGTTATAGGAAATAAAGGCTTCTTTTTCCTAGGTTGAAAGCAACCTTTTATCATCTATCCAGGGGAAACTTCGGGGCATCACAACCATGGGTGACTTCAGTAGAAAGCCTCTGGACATTTTTATTCTAAGAAAGAGAATGTGAAGTAAGGCATGAAAAGGGGAAGAGGTGACCTTACTATTTACTAGCTACTGGAAAAACCTATCTCTCAGGCATTCCAACCAAGGATTTCAAAATATTATTATTGTCAAAGCAATACTGGAAAAACAAATCTCAGGGAAGTAGGAAATAACCAAGAAAAGCTCATCTCAGCACAGTATGGTCATAAACATTACAGAAAGCCAGACTCTAGAATAGGACGCCTACCTAATGGGGAGGTACTGTAGCTACACTGCATACTGAGGCATCCACTTGGCTGCTTAGGCAACCATAGCTGGAAAGGAACTTGAAATCCTTAGCACTGGGGGGCTGGGTTATGTGAACTGTGGTGGCAGCTGTGATCTTTGAAACCTAGCCATATGTAATGGTGCATGTAGTACACAGATTCACCTGCATGTCAGCTGGGGCATACACCTAGAGACTCACCAGTGTTGAAGATTTTCCTCCACAAAGTAGCCTGCCTGGACAATGTACTTTTTAGCTTCCAGTAGCACCTCCATGAGTCCTTTTCCCCACTGTCGTGGTGGTTTGCCATTCACAGCATAGGCTGTGAAAAGAGCCGATGCCAGGGCTCCCAGATAGCCTGTTGGGTGGTGGTGGGTCATCCGGCCGCTCTCAATGCTCACTTGGATCAGTGTGTCCAGTTGGTTGGGGTGAGGGAACCTCAGACCGATGCACATGGCACGCATGGCAGCCCCACAGCCACCCTCATGGTTGTTGAAGGGAATCCTCCAGCCATTGACCTTGTTGGGATCCAGTTGCATAGCATTCTGCATGGAGGCACCACCTGGGGACGAGTCAGGCAGAGCACAGGGTCAGAGTCACCAAAACAAAGGACCCAGTGAGAAGAAAGAACTAAACAGATTCGCAAGTTTCTCTGAAGCTAAAGGAGAGCCATGAAAATATGTGGTGATGACCCCTCAACCCCAAACCCTAGCCCAACAATGACTCTTCCTCTCTGTATAATCCTTAATGTGATATGAGTTAACAAAGTAGCAGATTCAGAGGAAGCCTTGGGATATTTGCCAATTATCAGAGACCTCACAGCAACTCAGAAAGGTAGCTGAATTTTTTTTAATTTATTTTTTTATTTTTGAAACGAGGTCTTGTGATATAACCCAGGCTGGCCTAGAGCTCACTCTTTAGGTTGGCCTCAAGCTCACAGTGACTCTCTTGTGTCAGCCTCCCAAGTGCTGGAATCATAGGCATGTGCTAAACCATGTATTATTATTTTCTAGATGAGTAAGAAAGGGCTCAAAACTTATGAAACCTGATCAAGTTCACAGATCAGCTAGTGACCATGGACAATCCATCAGTCTCCACAGCCTGAGTCCTTGGTGAGTTCATTGAGAACCTATTGGAGTTCCTGGCTATCAGAAAGAGACTGACTTCCAGAGTAAAGTACTGGTCTCAAATGTGGCACAATGTGCTATAGATGTCCCTGCATGGCAGTGGTGTAAGCAGGCTTGTCCCATTGACCTACTGTACTGGAGTGATACATACAGCAGGAGCCAAGCAATGGCCGCAGCATGTTGTGGAATGCAGCATTACATTCCTTCACTGGTCAATGTATACACAATGTTCACAAAAGACACAGATAGACAAAACCTCCTACTGTCAAACTGAGTGTGCAGCAGATGTTGGGAAAGGACCTACAGAGCCTAGTTTCTAAAGCCAGTTCTTGAGTTAGGAAGCATCATGGGTACGATGGCAAGTTCTTCCATGCATCAGGAGTTATTCTGGCTGAATTGTGCTGATATGCTGAAGTCCAAATCCATGTGACAAACCCTAACACCTAGTACCTCATTTGGGCATAGAACCTCTCAAAAGGTGATTAAGCTAAACTGAGCCATTCGGGTGAAGCCTAATCTAATACAAGAGGAACCTGGGCACCCAGGCTCCAGGAACGCACACAGACAGAAAGACCAGGTAAGGACCAGAAATGGTGGCCATCTGCAAATCAGGAGGAGCAGCTCCAGAAGAAACCAAACTCACCAACGTCTTGGCTTAGATTTCTAGCAACCAGAACTGTGAGAAGAAAAACGTCTGTTGTCTAAGTTACCCAATCTATAGCATTTTGTGATGACAGTTGCCTAACAGTGTATGAAGAAAGGTTGGTCAAATGAGTGGGGGAAAGGTGACCCAAACTACAGCTAGTTCTCAAAATGGGTGAGAACCTCTATGAGCAAACCTGGAAGCAGTAGAGGAGTCTCTAGAGCCCTTTCCCAGTTTTCTTTAAAACAAAAAGGTTTTATTTATAATGTAGAAAATTCAGGTAAGTGAAAAGAAAATAACAAACCATAAATACTTCTATCACTAGATAAGATCATTAACAAATGTATGTACACACTTCCAGGCCTCTCAGCAGACATGCATTTCTTCTTTGTGTGTGTGGCATATGTGCACATGCTGATGTGTGGGCACAGAAGCCAGAGGACACTGTCCAGTGTTTTGTTCTGTCACTCTCTGACTTATCCCTTTGACACAGGGTCTCTCACTGGACCTAGAGCTGGGCTGGAGGCCAGCAGGCCAGTGTTCCTCCGGCCTCTGTCTCGTACAGCACTAGATTACACACAGCATTTTATGTGAATGCTGGGGATTTCAACTCTAGACGTCATGCAAGAGTTCTTAGCTATCAAGCTATATCCCCAGCCCCCTACTGCACTACCCTGTTGGGAGCCAGAGGCTCAGCCATTTCTCAAAACTGCTGACAGACCTGAGTTGGTGACTTTCCATTCTGTCCACCCTCCTCCCGCAGGCATGGGAAAGTTCCCACAACCTTGGCTCATAGCCGGGGCTCGTAGCCCACGGCCTTGCTCTAGTTATTGTAAATAGCCCTGTTTTCTGTTGATCAGTAGACTCTCGCAGGCACGGGATGGAGCCTGCGGCCTTGTTTTCTTTTCCAGTAACTGCCTTGCTCTCAGTGGATTCCTCCCTTGGAGTGCACCTGGGTCTTTGCTATCTGGCTGATATGATTCAGTCCAGTCTGCACTTCTTATTTAACTGTATGCTTGTGCTTCAATAAACGAGACTTGATCAGAGCACTGTCTTGTCTCCATTTCTCTTGCCCCTTGCCTCATCCACATCCCCACTCCCCAATCCAGGTACCCTGTTGCAGACCCCGCAGGCCGGGGCACTACCCCCTGAGTTTTGGGTTTGTTTTTGGTTTTTTTGACACAGTTTCATGTAGCTCAGGATGATCTTAACTCCTAATCTTCCTGCCTCTACCTCCTGAGTGCTGGGATTACAGGTATCCACCACATTTGATACACTTTTATACTTTAACAACAGTGGGTTCATGAAATATCATTCCAAAACTTACTTTTTTTCTACTTCATGTATAAAACCTTTCTGTATAGGTAATTATTCATCGACACAATTTTAAACAACTGTGAATGTTCTGCCATGAATAAATTACAACAACTTTAGGCTGTTTCTATTTTTTCAAATCCATACATACTACTATTTCATTGATATTTAAATGTCCACCAACTGTTTTCTTTTGGTTTTCTGAATCAGTCTCACAGCCCAGGCTGGCCTTGACTCAAAATTGGGATTATAGGTTGCCACTGTTCCCTGCTCTCCATCAACATTCTTAGTGACCTCCTTGAGCCTATTTCTCCATCCTCCCTGGCTTCCCACTGGCAGTGCTCACCTGGTGCCCGGCCATCCATGTCTTCCATGCAGTCTTGATAATGTTTAGCTAGGAGGGAATAGAGTCGAGTCAAGTCCGAGGCTTTGCCGGCTTCCAGGAGGGCTTCTGCTGTGGCCAAGTGCATCACTGTGTCATCACTGACTCTCCACCGTGCCACATCTATGGCTTCCAAGTCACCCATCTGGGCCAACTGCTGGTGTATCTTCTCCCCATCCTGAAGGAACTCCCACTTTCCGTTGAAGTACCCCAAGGCATCTCCAGCTGCACTTAGCACCATAGCAGCCACATACCTCTCAGTCAGTCCCCCACACATGTTGGGGCTGGCACAGCTGTCTTATGGGGCAATTAAGGTGCTTGAAGGAGGACAGAGGAAGAAGAATCAAAACCCCATCTACATTTTACTGAGTATTCTACCTGTAGCATTGTATTAAGTGCACCTCTTTTAATCCTCATAACTGTTCTTTGAGGAATTTATTATTAGGTACATCTTACATATGAATATATTGAGGCTTGTGTAGATAACAGTTTCATAAATAACAAGAGAACTGAATCAGGCCTCAGAGACAGCAAGTCATAGGGCTGAGATCCTAACATAGGTATGCTTTTAACTGTGCCGTTGTCTCCTGGAGAGTAACAAGCCCAATAAATTCTGCAAGTCAACCCAAGTCTGTCATTTTCTCTTTTTAATTGAGATTTGGCCTTGGAAGTGTATCTCTCCTTTATGTAAACAGCAGCACTTGCTATTGGTAAGCTTTCACAGATAAGAAACTCAGGGCTGGAGAGATGGCTCAGTGGTTAAGAACACTGGTTGTTCTTGCAGAAGACCTGGATTCAAATCCCAGCACCCATATGGCAGCCAACAACTGTCTATAACTCCAGTTCCAGGGGATGCGACAGCCTCTTCTGTCCTCTGCGGGCATTGCATGACACGGGTGCACTTACCTACATGCAGGCATAACACTCATACTCATAAAATAAAAATATAAATAAAAATATTTTTTAAAAAAAAGAAGCTCAGAGAAGTTAGGTTTGCACAACCAAAAAGTCAAGGCCTTGGAACTGCAGTTTCCTAATTTTAGGCCAGAATGTTTGATATTATTCTACCCTCAGCCCAGGCCTTGGGCAACCTCTTGGTGCCCTATAAAATGGTAATGATATAAAATGGTAATGATATAAAAAAGATAGCAACAGCCTCCTAGATGTGTTATGGGGAATGAATGAATTTCCATAAAGCATACCTAAGTATTGCTTTGTGATTTCTTTTATCATTGATATGTAAACAGTTCTGTAATTGAACTAGAACACTTTGCCCCCACAATATTCCCTTCACTATCAATAAATATCATTTTTCTTCTATATGGTAAGAGTTCTATAATATTGGATCTCAATTGAAATGCCTCCTACAAATTAAATCCTAGCAAAACACAGGCTTCCCTGTGTGTACATTTCCAAAGACCTGACTCCCTGGTGTGTCCAATTCCCTGTGGCATTCAGGTTCAAAGTCCTTCAAAGCCTTCCCATCCACCCATCCATACATCCACCCACTCACCCATCCATCCACCCATCTATCCACCCACTCACCCATCCATCCACCCATCCATACATCCACCCACTCACCCATCCATCCACCCATCTATCCACCCACTCACCCATCCATCCACCCATCCATCCACCCACTCACCCATCCATCCACCCACTCATCCATCCACCCACTCACCCATCCATCCACCAACCAATCTATCCATCCACCCACCCACTCATCCATCAACCCACCCAATTATTCATTCACCCACACCACTGTACAGAGGCAACCACTCTTAAGGTTAGGAGGACTGGCTCACCCCTCAAGCTCTTTCCCCACCCAACTATCCTTTCCCTCTTCTTACCTAAACCCTATTTTAGGTTAGTTCGAGTTCTGGCACCTCCACTGTCTACCAGCTGCACTGTTCTGGACCAGGGACTGCAGGTTAGCAAGGACCTAAGAAGCAGTAAGGATTAAAGACAGACTGACCATCACAATACCTTCTTACTGATCATGCTGAGTTTCTTGGCTCACTAGGCAGTGGAAGAGGATGTGGACTGTAGACGTTTGATAAAGGCCTATCTTGGCCTAGTTTTTTGTTTTTTTGTTTTTTTTTTTTTAAGACACTGTCTGACCTGAATTGCTTTTCTTCTATATGGTTAGAGTTCTATAGTATTGGTTCTCAACTGAAATGCCTACCAAAATTTAAATCCCTGGCAAAACACGGGCTTCCCTGTATGTGCATTTTCTAAGACCCCATTCCTCCTTAGGCCGCCCTCCTTCCCAAGGGTCTAGGTTTCCTTTCTGCGATTGTTTCTGGTTCCACTCCAGCGTGTGTTTTTGGAGTTGCAAGTCCCTGGAAGAAGCGGCCAGGCATCATTTTCCCAGTGAAATTCGTTCTCAGCTTGGCACATGCATCCATACAGCTCTAGTCCCCGACTTTAGGACGTCATTATTCCTTAACCGGCTCTAAACTTTCCGGGTCACATAGCAACCGAACTATACACTCAAAATTAAAGTCTGCTTCCCGGCTGTCCTGTGTTTTTCTGACCCTGGGTGGAAGAGGGGAAAGAGGGGGAGGCAAAGCAGCTGCCGCCGGCTCCTGGGAGGTCTTGGTGGCCACTCTGAGGAGCTGTGAGCCTCCAGAGAAGAGAGCCGGATGGCGGGGTGCGACCCGTCCTGCAGCAGGAGGGCGGAGGACAGCGGGCGTACCTGGGCCGATCAGGGAGCAGGAGTCGGACGCCGCAGCTCGAGTGGCCTGCGCGGGCCGGGGCGGGCAGGTGACCGGTGCACAGCGGCTTCCGGACGGTACGGAGTGGCGTTCTGCTTCCGCGTCCGCGGGACTCCGGAGTGACCCTGGCTTTCCGGAGCCGCGGGACCCCGGGTGTGCCCCGATCCTGCGAAGGGCTCTGCCCTGGGGACCCGGAAATCACAGAATGGTACCTACCTCCGGTGGCTGCAGTTCAGCCCTTTGTAACCCTTGTGTGGCCACAGCTCTGGACGTTCTTCCCGAAGGGTTTCTAAAGGCAGAAAGCGGCAAATAAGTTTAAGGGAACTTTTAGTTTCTTTTCCCTAAATTGTGACTCTGGAACTCTTAAGACTATGAGGTAGATATGGAGGCGTTCACGTTGAGCTTAGAGACATTTTATTAGACAGAAATAAATTCACAAACCATCATATTTTAGAACGATGAGTGCATGTTAATAAAGCTGTTCATGTGTAAAGTGAGTGGAAGGAGAAACATCAAATTGTTAATAATTAGAGTTCCTCTCAGAAGGGGAAGGAGTTTTCCAAGGAGAGAAAGAACATTTAAATTTTGTTCTGTTTTGTGTTTTTTCTTGAGACAGGTTCTTACTCTGTAGCCCAGGCTGGTTTCAAACTCAGGATCTTCCTGCCTCCACCTGGGATTTCAGGCCTGCAGCACCGTACCTGGCTTAAATCTTATATAATTTTTCTATTATATATATATATGGAAATTTGAGGAAAAGTAGAAACCAGGACTACTACTCTGGTTACACACAGTTATAACAGTTACAATCTCTTATGCACATGACTTAAAATAGTAATAATGGAGTCATTTTGTAAATACTGTTTTTTATATTCTTTCCTTAAAAACTGGCTTTATCAACGACTATCCTGACTTAGTGTCCAGACACATTAATGCTTCTAAAATAAACCACCTCCTGGTTCCATACAATGAAAGAGGCTCTGGTGCCCATTTCCTCTCCTACCACCTCATGGCTAAAACTGTTTAAAGAGAAGGAAAACAGAATCACTGATAACAGAAAATGGGGTTAAACAAAGCTTTGACACTTCATAGCCCTGAAAGTGTCCCGTGTCATGACTGCCTGTTTAGATAATGAGAGCTAAAGTTTGTGAGGAGAATATGCACTAACAGGAAATAGTTAATATTCAGGGGCTACTTGGACTCTCTAGCAGCGAGAGATCAGCAGCAAAATAGCAACCAAGTTCACAGAAAAACACACCACAGAAGAGAACTGCTGTGTAGTCTGTGAAAATTAAAATGGGAAAATGTACAAACAGAGGCCAGCTAGTGACAAAGAAATGGGAATTCAAAAGCAGCTGCTCCTGTGTGGTCAACGCAGGGAGACACAGGGAATGTCTGTGCGGCTGACTATGTCAGCTTGGCTGGGCCACAGCACACAGATATCTGCTTAAATCTTACTCCAGATGTGAAGGTGTTTTAAAACTGAGATTAACCTTTACCTCACTGAGCTCTAAGTAAAGCAGATTATCCTCCATGATGTGGGCTGGCCTCATTAGGTCAGTTGAAAGCCTTAAGAGAAAGGACTCATCTCTCCCTGGAAAGAGGGAATTCTGCAACAAACTGCCTCAGGGCCCTCCTGGATCTTTCTCAGGGTCTCAGGCTGGCAGCCTACCCTGCAAACTGTGAATGTGCCAAAACTTTATAATGTATAAACACAATTCTTAAACCCAGTTCTCAAAGTTAGTATCTCTGTCTCCATTCATTGTCATTCTCTGTGTCTATCTCTATGCCTCTGTCTCGGTGTCTCTGTGTGTGTGTGTGTGTGTGTGTGTGTGTGTGTGTGTGTGTTCTGTTTCCTTGACTAACACAGCATTTAAATGTGCCAAACTTGGCTCAGTACTTCTTGAACATGGAGAAACCAAACTAACAGAAGAGATTTAGTGGAATACAATAACATTAGTTTGCAAGAAACATGGTTAAGGAAACTATTCAAGGTATAGGTTGGAATAGCTCTCGTTTTCAGGTCAATTGGGGTATTCAGAGAAGACATCCAAAGAAAATTATACCTGAGCTGATGTTTGAAGATTATTATGAAAGCAAACCAAAATCACCATAGCCCAGAAAAAGAAGGAAACAATTGTTGAATGTAGTAAAATCAATTTTAAAAGAAAAAGACAAAAACGTAAAGAACTGGATATGGTGGCAACCCTGTAATCACAGCACTTGGGAGGCTGAGGAAGGAGGACCTTGAGTTTGAGACCAGCCTGGGCTGCATAGTGAGACTGTGCTTCAGAAAACAAAGAAAAAATAAAATTAAAAAGCTGACACAGGGTCTGGAGAGACAGCTCAGTAGTTAAGAGTACTGGCTGCTCTTGCAGAGGACCAGGGTTCCATTCCCAGAACCCACATGACAGCTAACAACTGTATGCAACTCCAGTTCCAGGGAATCCAACACCCTCTTCTGGCCTCGATAGGCGTTGCATGCATGTGGTGCACTTAACATGCAGACAAAACACTCATGCATGTAAAATAAAATAATTTTAAGGCAGAGACAGAGGTTTAGTTTAGCATTTCCTCCTTGAAAAATGGTCCCAGTGTTAAGGGCCCAATTGAGTCTAGTCCGTAAGTTAAGACAGTATGTCCTAAGCATTCTTTCTCATTTCCACTTTTCTGAGACGTCCCAAATACACCAGCCTTACAAGGCTGAAAATGTTAAAGCACACTTAGAAAAAAACTAGAACAACTCACCAAGGAAAACAGGCTGTCGGGATACCAACCTTGGAGTATTTTTGAAAAATAACAGAATAAGGGCAGGTGTGGTGGCTCATGGTGGAATCCCAGCATTCAGGAGGCTAAGGCAGACAACACCAGAACACAAGGCCAGCCACGCTACACAGCAAGACTGGGGACATCCTGGGGTACAGAGTGAGGTCCTGCCTCAAAACAATGACGAAAGTAGAATACGTATGTCCATCAGAGCAGTTGTCAAATATTAGTTCCAGGGGAGTATGTGTACAACCATCACTTTCTAGTGAGGAACTGAGGCCAGTGAAAAGAGTTCCTCAGAGTCTGGGTGACCCAGTCACACATGAGAAGCAGGCCTGGAAGCCACGGTGCCTGAGTTCCAGTCTCCATGCTGCCATCAGAAAACTGTGAAATGGCCTGTGGACTAAACATTGATTTCATTAGAGGCATGAAGCATGATTTTCAAAATATTCCATGTTCCCCAAAAGAGGCATAAGCACCCATTTGATGACCATGTACAAGTAGTGTTTAAAGAAAATAAAATGATGGCTGGAGAGATGGCTCAGTGATTAAGAGCACTAACTGCTCTTGCAAAAGACCTGGGTTAGAGTCCCAGCAGCCATATAATAACTGTTCATAACTCTAGTTCCAGGGGATCTGACACCCTCTTCTGACCTCCACAGGCATTGCATGACATGGGTGCACTTACATACATGCAGGCAATACACTCATACACATAAAAAATAAAAATAAATAATTTTTTAAAAGAAAAAACAGTTTTAGCCATGCACTGTAATTCTAACAAATAGCAGAAATGAGGGGGATATTTCACGGTGATAAACAGAGGAAATCAATGACACAAACTGGTGTCTGAAATGTTAGGAACAGCTTCTGCCCTTCTAAACAGAACAGAAAGAGAGCTGGGGAAGTCCTTGTTATTTCCCATCTCCTCTCCCGATGCAGCTGCTCTTTTCCATAGGCCAGGGCTCCCCAACTGTAGGTCTGCAGATCCACAGGTACATTTTGAAATCTTTGGTGACTTCCTAGCAAGTGGCCTCTACCGCTGCCTTTCTCTTTTGCTGGATTTCCCACACGCAGGGAAGCTCAGCTGACACCCCAATGTCAGCTTCATCTCTGGGGCTTGCAAAGGCCTGTCCATGCTCAGGCCCACAACCACACAGCCACACCCACAGGGTCTCACTGCCTGCTTGGCTCTCAGAGATGAAAATGCAGCCTTCAAAACCAAACAAGAACCACAGGAGCCTTGCTGAAGTGATTTCCTTTCATGCGTCTCGGCCCCACTGCCTGTGTAGAGGTCAGCCTGGGCTAACCACCGTGAATCCGTTCTCATTGCCGTTTCTGGAAGAGTCCTGGGCACAAGCCATAAAGAAAAATCTAGCGAGGGGCATTTGTCTGCCCTTGTCTCTCCAGTCCACTCCGTCCCCCTCTGAGGAGGTGGCAGTTCTTTGTCCCTTGGTCTCTGACATACCTTCCTAAAACTGTTCCCTGAAGAGAACCCCTGAAGCCTAGGATGGAGCATCTTTTAAAAAGACAACTAACAGTGAGGCAATGGCAGCTATTCTAGGCAGGCTTCCTTCTTGTGTCTGGGGCCCTGGGAGGAGCCACCCAAGTTCTCCTCAAGAGAAATGAGCTGGGGGCTCAGGAGATGCCATCTGAGGTGCCCTAGCACTATGAATCCCACCCTCCTGCACAGCCTTCCAGTGGCCAGATTCCTTCTCATATTCAACAGTGGTTGCATGTATCCACACGAGGTATGCTTTAAATGTCCTTTCTAAGAAAGCAAAGAGAACATTCTGTGCAATTATATTTATATACAGTTCTGCAAATGCAAACAGATACATAGTAATATATGGAAAGGTATGGGAAACAGATCAGTGGAGGAAGAGGGCAGGGAGAAAAATTTCAGAGGGACTTTAGGAGATATTCATGGTGATGGACACTTGTTCATTATTTTTCATAGGTGATGGCTCCATAGATGTGTATATGCGTGTATTCAACAAAATGTTTAAAACATTTTAAACTTCTTAGGATATTTTACTGGTAAGAAACCTATTAAAAATAAATAATCATATAAATAAAATTTTTAAATGTTGTCCTTTCTAGGAAGAATTAGAGCAGGGGGAATTCCCCTTTTCATTCAAGTCGTGACGTTTCTCTTTAGCTTTATGAGCAGTATTAAGTTTTCCTTTC